GATGAACTTCCCAATAATCCCCCCAATTCATTCCGACGATTCAAAGAAATGCGGGAAACTAATTAATTAATTGTGTACTTGACCCATCTTAATTCTCAACGTTCCATGAATGCACTATTATTCTGAGTTTGACAAAAATGAAATAAAATAAAATAAAATCAGATAAGGTCAATACCGCCGTGCACTAATTGCTTCAGATCAATAATTTGGTTGCTATAATTGACTGCAATGCAACCCTCAATTTTGTGTTCTTATTTCCACGTGTGGTAGTATTTCTTCAGCAGATCCAAAACCCCAAATTGGCAAATTCTGTCTCTTACCCAAAATGCTATGCCATCTGATCTTGTCAGCTACCATTTTGTTTGCAGCAATACAATATCGGACATTTGCCTATGAAGATCCTCGTGCCTATACTTGCAATGCTGCCAATACCTACACACCCAACTCTTCTTTCTCCACCAATCTCAAAGAAGCACTAGACATTCTTCAAGATAATACCGCTGCCACTGGCTTTAGTACCATCACCATACCTAGCAAAACCAACCCTGTCACCGGCCTAGCCCTCTGCCGTGCCACCTTGTCTCCCACAGATTGCCAGGAGTGCGTAGCTGCCGCTGTGTTAGGCATTCGCGTCGTCTGCTCCAATCAGACAGCAGCTCAGGTTTGGTACACATATTGCATGCTCCGGTACTCCGCCACCAACTTCATTAACAAGACTGATGACTCCAACGCCTTCATCTTGTATGACACCAGAGTTATTCCGTATTCATATTATCCGACCATTGATGTCTTTTTGCAGAACCTGTCCTCCACTGCAGGTAGAATTTCTTTTAGTAATACATCTGATGATAGATTATACAACAGGAGATTCATATATGGTTTTAATGTTTTGGATCGATCCATTAATTCTAATTTCAGGCATGTCAGAGAAGAGATACGCGATTGCTCAAACAAAGGAACCTGATAATCATCCGGTTTACGGCTACATGGATTGCACCAGAGATGTTGATGGAGAGAGCTGCAGGAGGTGTTTGTTAACAGCAATTGGTCGCGTAGATGGTTGCTGCTTAGGGAAGTGGGCTGCTTGGGTTGCTACCCCAACTTGTAACATTCAGTTTCACATGGAACCAGTCCACAAGGACTGGGAAACAGCCCCGTTTATACAAACATTCTTATCTCCAGCACCACCACCAGAAATTCCAGCAACACCCCCACCTGAAATTTCAGCAACCACCCCACCTGCTGGAAGAAGGAGCCCGGTGGTGCTCGGGGTTTCGGTTGCTGTTTTTGGGGTGTTCGTGGTGGTTGCTGGGTTGTGGTTTCTGAGTAAGAGAAGGAATATTTTACCTGTCATTATGAAAGGGAGGTGGTGGGTTGCAGGGGAAGGTGAGAGGGATACTGAGAAAAGGGAGGAAATTGAAACGAGAAAGTTTTTGTTTGATTTGGATGCTTTGGTAACTGCAACTGATAACTTCTCAGAGGCAAACTTGCTTGGAAGTGGAGGATTTGGCTCTGTCTATAAGGTGATTAGTCCTACTCCTCTGTTTCCCCTGTTTTTACTAATTATTTGCATAAAGTACAGGCTACATATTACATTTTGGTTGAACCATAGATCTCATTTGACCTCATATGTAATTAATATAGTAGAAAACTAATTAAATAAGTATAATATATATGTTCAGGGGACACTGCCTAGTGGGGAAAGGATAGCAGTAAAGAAATTGGCAGCCAATTCAATGCAAGGAACAGAAGAATTCTCAAATGAAGTCAGAGTACTGTTGAAAATGCAGCACAGAAATCTTGTACAATTGCTAGGATGCTGCATCCATGGAGAAGAAAGGATGTTGGTTTATGAACATCTCCCCAACAAGAGCCTTGACTATTTCCTCTTTGGTAATATTTTGATTATACAATCTTTTTTCTGGGATATTTTCAATTAGACTTTGATTTTATTTTTGTATTTTCTGTTTGATTTTTTTTGTTTTAAAGATAAAAGCAAGAGTGCCATACTTGACTGGCAAAAGAGACACGAAATTATATTGGGTGTAGCTCGTGGTTTGGTGTATTTGCATCAAGATGCGGTGCTTAAAATCATACATAGAGACATCAAAGCTAGCAACATCTTGCTTGATGAAGGGATGGCTCCAAAAATATCAGATTTTGGTTTGGCAAAACTTTTCAAAGATGAACAAAGTCATTTAAGGACCCACCGAATTGTTGGCACATTGTAAGTACAGTTTATACGTGCGTGTTTTATTGACACTAAACTAATATATATTTTTTCAACTCATTTTTTTAAAAAAATTGTTTGTCTTATTTAAAAGAAAGATTTTGAAAATAGACTTGGAAAATATAAATCAATGCTTGTCTTTTTAATTTTTTCATAGGGAGAAAATAAAATGAGAATGTATTTTTGGGGAAAAAATGAGAAAAACAAAAAAGAAAATAGAAAATTGCTTCTTCTTTATTATTTTTCTTCTTTGAAGGGGAAGTCAAAAACAAAAGTTTGTTGACCAAAGTGTTATAACTATAAAAATCCAGTGACCTCACATG